CGCCCTCCTCGTCCTCATTTACCAGCAGAGAACAAGCAGCTTGACCGCACCTGCCGCGTTATCTGGGAGATCGCCGGATGGTTACTTCACATCTCGATCAAACGCGAGCCGGTATTCGAAGGATCCATGCCGTGAGCCTCACGCTCTCCCACTCCCTTCCAAGGATGGACCTGCAGTGCTGGAAGCCACAGGGCTGGCCACGGGTTCAGGTACAGCGTTAACCTAGAGCCTGACCAGCTGGAGGGCTGGGGAAGGCGACTGATGTGACACGCCCTACCCATGGTGCCCCTCTCTGTCTCTTCAGTACATACGTGTTTTCTCTCATAAAAGAAACAAAGTAAATTTTTAAATAAATAAGTACCCAAGTGAATAAATAAATATGTGGCTTTTAGGGAAAAAATTTCACCCACAGAAGAGTACCTAGGCTGATTCCATTTTTTGACCATCCCATATGATGCCGAGAACCTTCCCGTGCAGGTTTCCGTGTGCACCTAAGTGTTCCTGTCTGGGGAAATGAGCTCAAAGACGCCACCCCATGCTGGTTCTGTCAGACACGGTGGAGCGGTGTTCTGGAGTGGCTGCTGGTTCCTACTCCCGTCGGCATGAGTGAGCCATCGGCCTGTTTTCTGGCCAGCAGGGAGTGCTATTGCTTTTTGATTCATCATTGCAATGTCTGAAACAAATGCCCGTGGTGAGCTGGCCTGTGATTTTTCTTTTTTAAGATGTTTGCCACAGGGTGCATGCATTCACCAGGAAGAGAGACAGAAGAGGGAAAGTGAGAAATACCCCCCTGGAGGGGGGCGGCCACTCTGCAGCCCTTTCTCCTCCATTCTCTCTGGACTGGGGCGTGAATCACACACAGGCGCCCCGTGTGCTTTTCAGGCCGCCAGGCTGCATTCCTGTGGTCGTGGGGGTGCAGATCGTCTCCCTCTCCGACGCTTCCTTGCCACCTGGAGACCTCTGTGGTGACGTGCCTTTTGTCAATTATCTAATTAGATTTTTCATTTTTCTCACTATTGAGTTTGGAGAGTTCTTTTTTGTGGTTGTTAAGTTTGTTTATATATTTAATGTGTGTGTGAGAGAGCAGGCGGGCGGGGGGGGGGAGAGGGAACCCTCCAGGGGCATGCCTTTCCACAATCCCCCCCCCCCCCCCCCCCCCCAGCCAGTGTCATGGACACATCTGTGGGCTTTTGGACCCCAGACCCCAAGCCTGGCCTCTCACGTGGTTCAGGTCTCTTGTGTGTCTTTAGCCCCATGGTGGCCACACCTTGGCACGGCCCACACGCTCCAGGGCCTCCCCCCCCGCCCCGGCTCTCCCTATGCTTGTTCCTTCAGCCCTCCATCTGTACCCTCACCATCAGCAGCAAGGCCCTGGGGACGTGCTTCAAACTCCGGAACGAGCCCACAGGGTGACCGCAGCTGTTTTCATATTCCGTGGACTGCAGCGGTTCCCTGGAGGGCTCTCCCCAGTGGCCGAAGCACTGGTGCTCATTCGCTCTCCTAACCTTACACGTGCCACGGTTCTGGAGCGTGGGCCTGGCAGTCAGCGGAGCTTTGTATTTTTTATGTTTTTAGGTGCTTTGAAGCCTTTCTTTTCTAATGCTCCTTGCAAATAAATGATGTTGTCATGATTAATATTTTCCCACTGTGGAAACTGTGACCCTAAATTGTCCTTAGTAAGGTTAGCTCATGTGTCCAGTAACGAGGTACTCAGTCCCTGATGTGCATATGCAACATTCCCCAGCCCTGGACAGTGGAGCCCAGAATCCACCCATCTGGATGAATGCACTTTCAGAAGATGCCCTCCTGAAGCCCCTCGCTGGGCCCAGTGCAGGTGTTTATTGAATGCGCTCTGATTCTGATGGGGTCTGGATAAGGACACGCTCAGGGCAAGGCAGGGAGCTCAGTGGCTGTGGCAGAGCTCACTTCTGAGAGGGAGCTCACTGTGGATTCCGGGGCAGTGAGAGGGCAGTGAGAGCGAGCTCAGCGGGCACCTCTCAGGAGGCCCTCCTGGTGCACAAGAATGCCTCAGGGGCTTACGTCTGACACCAGACTGCTCAAAGCAAAGCTTTAGACAAAATAAAGTTAGCAGAGTTTATCTGAACAAAGAAGAATTCATGCATTGATCGCACTGAGAACTGGAAAAGGCTGAGATGCCCTGCTGTCACAGCAGGAGCAGGCTGCAGCTGAGCCAGGGAGCGGAGGGGCGACAAGCCGCCTGGCCGCTGCGAAGGGTAGCCTCCTCTGGGCCTGGTCCAGTGAGAGGTCTCCGTTATGTAGCCCACTGGCTGGCTGGCTGTTTTGGACTGACTGAACTGGGTTTTGTTTGTTATGTCAGCTCTGAGAAGACCTCCTGGTTGTGTTTGGTTGCTTCTGGAAGAGCTCTGGGTGCAGACACAACCTCAAACCAATGGCTTTCTTCTTCTTTGCTTTAACAGAGGACATTTAAACAATACTTATTTAAAAAAAATGCTTAAGGGGACCAACAGTTGGCGTAATGGCTATGTTGCTGGACCCTCATGTAGTCGACTGTGGTTCATGTCCTGGACCTGGCGGCTTAAACTCACGCTGGGCGAGTGTGCATGCATGCCCAAGATCCCGAGAGGAGAATGGAGGAGGAGGGATTGTGGCATGGCCATCTCCCCCGGTGGGTGATTTCTTGCTTTCTATCTCTGTCTTTCTGGCAAGTGCACATACCCTATAGCAAAAATCTCTCCAATAAATAAATAAATAAATAAATAAATAAGCTTAAGAAGTCAAAAGTATTGGACAATAGTTTAACTTTTGAGCACATTACCTTCAAGGAAGCAATACTCATACCGATACAGAAACGGCTAGAAAAGGGATAGTCATCGCTCTGCTTTTCATACATCACATTTATTCCCTGGGAAGTGTGAAAATGCAAGCTGCAGCTCTTGAGGAAGCCCTCAGGTCTGGGTAGTGATGCTGTGTCAAGTTCCAAACGGCCTCTTCCCTCTCTGGAGGCACCATCCTGGAGACCGATGGCCTGGGGTCTTTGCTCTTCTCCAAGGTGGTCTCACCCCTTTCTCTGTCCTGTGTGCATCACAGAGAGCAGTCTCCAGCCCCCACTCTAATGCCCTCCAAGCCGCTTCTCACTTGTGATGTGGCCTGTGCCCACTCCCAGGGACATATTCTGAACCTGTGCTACTCAAGCTGTAATTTGGGGCACAGGGAGATCTGCGTTTCCTGAGAGCTGATTAGGAAGGCAGTTTTCCTGACCTCGTCCACACCTACGGAGTCAGTATCCAGGGGAGAAGAGAGGGTAAGAGCAAGGATTTTGGCAAGCCTTCATGGAACTCTGGTCCTGAAATTTACAAGGAGCCGAAGGCATGTCATGGAGAGAAACTGAAGCCTTGTCTGGAAAGAGCGAACTGCTTCATCTTTTAGTTGGAGAGACAATCTCCAACCTATGACGTTTTCTTATGAGAACTCAGATTGCAGGCCACAGGGGTTTCTCCTGCTGGGGAGTCTCTGAGAACTGAAGTGCCCTGAGGTTGGGAAGACCGGGACAGACACTGATGGTGGTGGGTGACCCTCAGTGGTGACCTCTCCTATACCTGCAGGAAGAACCTGCCCTGCCGATGGAGCTGTTTGCACAGAGCGAACCGTGAGCCTGCTGGGGAGACGCAGCTGCTTGCGGTGGGAGCTGGTGGCATGCCAGTAGTCAAGGCAGCTGATGTGGGTGTACTCAGAGCGGCTCTCACCAGTCTCTGACTGGTCATGTGACCTGCAGGCCAGGTCAGCTCACTACCCTCTTATTTGTTTAAACAGTATTGGGAACCAGCAGTTAGCGTAATGGCTGTGTCGCTGGACTCCCACGTAGTCGACCGCGGTTCGTGTCCCGGACCTGGTGGCTTGAAACTCATGCCAGACGTGTGTGCGTGCGTGCCCAAGATCCCGAGAGGAGAATGGAGGAGAAGGGATTGCGGCGTGACCATCCCCCCTGGGGGGTGATTTCTCGCTTTCTGTCTCTATGTCTCTCTCTGTCTGTCTGGCAAGCGCACGTGCCCTACAGTGAAAATCTCTCAAAAAAAAAAAAAAAAAAAAAAAAAACCAACCAACCAACCAACCAAACAAAAAAAACAGTATTTATGGCTGCTTTCAAGATACTAGGGCATTGACCAGCAGGTGGTGTAATGGTTACATCGTTGGACTCCCACATGGCCAACTTCAGTTCGAGTCCCAGAACCAGAGGCTTGAAACTCATGCCAGGCACATGTGCATGCATGCCCAAAATCCCAAGAGGAGAGTGGAGGAGAAGGGATTGCAGCATAGCCATCCCCCTGGGGGGGGGGGAGGATGACTTCTCACTTTCTGTCTCTCTGTCTCTGTCTCTCCAGCGAGTGCAAGTGCCCTGTAACAAAATTCTCCCTCTATTAAAGCTACAAGGGCATCATTTTGCAGCTGAGAAGGACACCATGTCCCAAAGGCCAGAGTAGCAACTGTCCACTTTTCTCAGAAAATATTTGGCTAACACTGGTCTAAGAGAGCTAGGTAAGCCTCAGTAATATCTGATGCATTGGTGTGTCTCGAAATTTAGTTGTCTGTGCGTCCTTTGGTGATTTGTGGAAATGCATACTGAGAAGGTGAGGAGGCCCTGGGTTGTACGTTTCTGAGGGGCTTCCAGGAGGTGCCACTGCTCCTGGAGCCAGGCCCACTGCTGAGTGTGAGAGCATTCTTCCCGTGCACTCCCTTGCCACGAGCCAGGGAAGGTGTGTGAGGCAGTCCGTCTAGAGGAGATGGCCCCAGTGTGCTTGGGCTCCACTGTGCACATCAGGGCCCTGGGAAGCCAGATACTGTACCCCTGTCTGGGCAGCAGCGTGAGCCCTGAGTCGGCTCACACACTCCAGCTGTGCCTCTGGCAGCCAGCACAGGAGGCCCTCACAGGAAGGCGGGCCCCACCCTGGGACCTACTGCTACCTTGCTAAGAATAAATATCGCTGGCACATCCCCTCCCTCCAGATCTGCACACACAAAGATTCTTGAAATACCCATGTTTAATGACTTATTCTATGTGATAAACCCAGACAAAAAAGGGTTTCTGAGCTGGCCAGCCATGAACCCCCAGGTACTTGCAAAACCTGCAAAACCAAAGAACAGGCAACACGGAGCTGCTCAGCCACGGAAACGCCAGCTCTTAGACATGACCCGTGTCCAGGGAGGAGACACGGCCGTGGCCAGGCTGGGTCAGGGGCGCTCCTCCCAGCAGGTCTTGCTCAGGAGTTCCAACTGTGTGGTCTGGGCTATGGCTCTGACGGTGAAGAAGCACAGGAAGGTCTGAGGGAACAAGCACAGGAAGGCACTGTGGGTGGCAGGGGCTTGGGAGGCGGGTGGCCCACACTGAGGACCGGCATCCAGCTCGACAGCACTCATTCCTGGGCCAGCGGTGGGGATGTGGATGTGGCAGCCAGGCGTGGCCCTGGGGCCCTGCAGAGCTGTGTTTTCACCTGGGGAGTCTTTACCCAGCCACCCAAGTCAAGCACCCTCTCCTCAACCAGCGGCCTCCAAGGGAGCCCCAGGCTGTTGTGGGATTCACACCAAGAGCAGCAGCAGATGCTCGGTCCTAGCGAGGGCTGCTCTCTGACTTAAGCAATTAGCTAACCTACGACTTAGCCCCTGATAAGGAGGTCTGCTAACCCCAGGGAGGGGGTGCATTGCCCCCATGTCAAGCTTCACGTTGTCTTTATCCCTGGAGCAGGTGCTGCAGCTCAGCAGGGCCCAGGGTAGGGCCAGGAGGGAGAGAGATGGGGCCCCTACTCAGCCTCTACCCCTCGGCTCTAGGTCACCGTAGGGGAACTCTGGGAACTGCCCACACACAGAAATGGACGTAGGACACCCAACGGGCTCCATCCGCAGAGGCAAGGAGGGGTGGGAGTGAAGACAGGGAGGGGACACGCTCTACTGGGGCCAGAGATGACTGAGGGGACAAACATGGTATAAGACCATGTGGCCAGCTGCGGGGCACTGCAGGGGGCAGGGGATAGTCAGGAAGCTCCAATGGCTAGGGGACTGCGTGTGGACCTGGGCTGCTGGGCTGGGCTCCCCACGGAGCTGGGAGCAGGGCGGCCAGGGCCTGCCTGGTGCTGCTCACTGGCTGTGGCCCTAAGAGGGGCTTTGTCAGCTGTTCGCAGCCCCCGCCCTGCCTGCCTCGTGCAGGACCCGCAGCTGTGGAAAGGGGAGCAGCCGGTGTCTCATCTTACATTGTTCCATCCTGGGTTTTCTTCAAAGGGGCAGTTTTCAATGTCGCCCTCCGATTTCCTACAGATGGTTCTGCGCAGCTGCAGTTTCATGGAGAAGGTTTTCTTAGGCTCCACCTACTGGCCACAGAGAGGTTAGAGTGGACTCGCCCCGTGCTGCCCTTAGGCTGCTGATGGTCAGTGCAGGGGAGGCCCCTCTGTAGTGCTCACGGGGCTCACCATGAGCCTGGCATCATCTCCCTGCAGGTGACACCCAGTAGTCCGTCCATAGTTAGGAGTTAAGAGCAAAGAGCAGGCGGGCACGGTGGAGGCCCCCAGGAGACCCGGCTGAGTCACCACCGGTCACCACCCACCGTGCGCCCACGTCCACTGCACCACAGGGAGGCCCACTGTACTGAGAGCAGGTGCAGGACCGACGCTGTGTTCCCAGAGCGCAGGGCCACGAGCCCGGGAGGCTGCAGGTCTGCACGGCCTGCAAGGAAACCGCAGCCCAGAGAGGGGCCCGTCTCCAGCCTGTCGTCAAGCCTTTCAGGTGACCGTGGGGAGAAACATGTCACACGGCGCCATGGCTGCACCAGGCACGGGCTGGGGCAAGGTCACCTGCTCCAGCTGTCCTTAGGAGTGTGGCCCAGATGTGCTGTCTTCTTCCCCACCCTGCTCCTCCATTCCACACCCCCACCCCCGCCGCTGTCCCACCCACACACAGCGTGCCCTCCCAGAGGCGTAGCCCTGTGCCAGGTTGGGGCCCCTTGGCCCTTCCATCAGGCTCTCGGGGCTGAGGGGGAAGAGCAGCGAACCCCCCAAGACCAGCAGTGCCCGTTAGGAGGGTATTTCCCGGGTACAGCACACCGCCCAGTGCGTCTGCAGGTGTTCCATTAGGGGACGCTCAGGAGGAGGAGCGGAGGCCCTCACCCCAGGACCTGGAGCCCCAGGAGCCCAGAGCAGGTGGAGATCCAGGAAAGGACCGGCCGACCCTCAGGGCTGGGGCTCCTTAGTGCCCCTCAGTTCTCAGCTCTCCTCTCCCGTGTCTCCACAGCCGTTTGCTCTCTCTCTTGTTGGCAGCTTTGTCACCTCAGCAGTCCTTATTCTGAAGTCATTCTTCAGTTTACAAATGTCATAAAAATCTTAGCAACTGAAAAACACATCTTGTGCAATGAGTATACACTGGCCTGATTTAAAAGAATTTCTAGTTTAAAGGTTTTCTAAAAATCAACAGTAGCTGACTTCTGTCTTACCAAGATACTGACTCTAAGTGGTGAGCCAATACTCACCGAGTAGACGCCCAGGTCCCTCCCTCAGCAGCACGGGCAGGCGAGGGTCACCCACCTGCTCCCTCCAGGAACTCAGGACACGCTCCAGCCCGTATGCGCGGTTGTCCTCGCTCTGCTGGTTGAACGTGTGCAGGGCGAACTGCACTGTCCCGGGGAAGTCAGGGTCCTGCATTTGGTACATGCCCATGTCCTCCTCAGAACACCACGCGTGAGTCCGCGGCAGCTGGAAGCCCACCAGCAGCAGCAGCAGCACCCAGGGCAGGCCCCAGGTCCCAGGCAGATGGGACATGGTGCAGGCGCCACACTCTGCCCTCCCCTGCCTGGTTCCACTTCCCACGGGAGCCTACCAGGCCCAAGTCCAGCCCTTACATTGCCTGGCCATAGTCTCCTCCCTCCGAGCCTCACCTCTGCCCACCCCGTCCCTTCCCACATGTGGCCTCACCCCCTCTAGTGTAAGCTGCTTCAACCACCTGCCCTGCCCCAGAGGGAGGGACCAGCACAGAGCAGGGGAACCCTGGGCATGAGTCCCTGTCATGGTCATTCCCTGAGTGCCACAGTAGGCAAAGGGGCCTCTGTTGGGATGTCCCAGAATCCAACACTGAGAAGAGGATGGTGCAGGAGGTCAAAGTGATCATGGTCCCTGGACACGCTGGTGGGGTAGGGGCCGGGGGAGATAGGGAGGGACAGACAGCAGGGACATGCTGTGCAGCGTGAGCATCAAGGTACCCCAAGGCCCACTGCCCAGAGATGGCGCGTGTTCCTCTACTGGAAGGCGCACAGAGCACACAGATGCCCGTCTTCAAGCCTCGCACGGTGTGCAGAGGGGGCCTGGCTCCACAGTGCTCTCATCTGCTCCTGGGACCTGGAGAGATCAGGCTCATGGTCTGGAAACACAGGCTCTGTAGAAAGGGGCTGGCCGTGGTGGGGTGGGGTGGGGTTGAGGAAACCTGGGCAGAGCCCCCCGCCCGGCCCTCTGCATCTGCCTGAGCACAGTGTTCAACTCAGAGACATGCCCATGTGCCAGTCTTGGGGGCCTGACCAGTCCTGTGATGCCCTCCCTGCAGAGGTGTTGGGTGAAGGGCAGCCCCCTGATGGGAGTATGGGAGCATCCCCAGGGAGCGCGGGGGTGTGTCTGCGAGGTGGTCATTGGCGCCCTCTGGTGGCCTCGAACATCACCACTCAATGGCCATGGTGTCTCCCTGGACAGTCCCTGATCTAGAAAGAGGTCTTGGGAGTCTCCAGCCCTGGCAGCAGGCTGGACCCTGAAGAGATGGCACACTGCACCTTTTCCAGACGAGCCTCGGCTCTGTGCCTAGGACCTGTGCCCAGGCATTTACCTGCAGCTCTTTGTGACCTGGGAGGGAGTGGAGTCTCCTAAAGGTGTTAAGCCCTTCTGGCTCCTCCCTCTCAGGACTGAGCTCCTGTCTGGTCAGGGCCTGGACTTTGCACTTCTAACCAGCGACCAGAAGAGGGCGATGTTTATAATTTCCTGATGGCACTTTAGCAAAGTTCAGAATGCGTCCCAGATGGGTGAGACAGACCAAATCAGAAGTGAGAAGTAACTGACCTCAAGGGTGAGAGGGAGGGGGATGAGCAGAACAGGATCAGAGAAGGGGCCAGAACACCATGCCTGGTGACAAAGAAAAAGGAGGTGGACCCAGTCACTGGGCGCTGCCTCTGCAGAGGGGGTTCTGGGACCTGACAGCTGGCCTGCCCATGGCCCCTCAGAGCTGGGGTTCCCAGTAGCTGCAGCTCAGAAGCCCCCTCCTGAAAGCCCTCCTGCCCCTGCGTGTCCTCGGCCCACACTAGGTGTGACCCTGGCTCCCTGGGTGGGGGACTGTGCCCCCTCTGCCTTACCTTCCACATGAATTTCTGGCTGTTCACGGCCCCCCTCACCACCCTCTCCCCGCAGACAAGAACTGAGGCGGGCAGGTGCCGTCAGGCCGGGAGGTATGATTAGCCAGGAATAAGTGCCTGGGCGTGACTGGACGTGAGCCCTGAGGGAAGCAGCCCCAGACGCCAGCACAGAGGCTGCACCTTCCTGGGTGCTGGAGTCTCCATAACAGCAGCCGCACTGAGCACCAGGTCCCCGAGCTGGGGATGAAGGTGCCATCCAGGGGTGGGAGGAGCTGGCAGTCAGGGACATGCTGGAGTTATGGGGGGACTCTGGGGTCCCGTCCTGTGAGAGCTAGCGTGCTGACAAACCTGACTAAGTCAGAGGGTCCCAGCAAGGCCCCGTGGGTCACTCATGCCGTCAGGGGCTCTCCACGCACTGTCAGTGGAGCCTGTTCTGAGGACGGACCACCACGTGTGTTCTGGGGGCATGCCCACACCTCCTACAGGAGAGAAGCCCCAGGCTCCTGAGACCCGCCCAGACCCGGTGCCACAGGCACGTGGCGGACTGACCCTTATATGCGTCTGTGTACTTGCGAGTCTTTGCTGGCCTGGACGGCCTCTTCCCAGACAGAGAGAGACTGAATATCTGACGTAACCAAGCAGGGCTCAAGCAGTGGCACCGCAATAATGCAGAGGGCCCTTGGGAGGTCCTGGGCCTGCGCTGGGACCTCCTGGTGGGCTGGGGGCACGCACTTATGATCAAGGCTGCTGACTGAGGCGATGATGGTGTGAAGGCTGTCTTTGGGATACTCATCTCTCTCTAAATCTCTGTCTCTCTCAAATCAAAGAAAGAAGCTTAAAAATAGACACCAGCCAAGTGAAGGAGAGCAAACGTGGGTCTTACAGTGGAGGGGACAGGAGGAGACGTGCCACAGCTGGGCAAAGCCACCAGGCCCGCAGTGCCTGGCCAGCAAGCCCCCGGCACCTGCCGCTGCTCTCTGCCTGGCTATCCCCCACCCGGGGTCTGGAAGGGTCTAGAAGGCACAGTCAGGTGCCTTTCCTCCCTTTGTCACCAGGGACTCCTCCTCACTTCGAACACCCAGGCCAAATGTCGCCTCTTCTGAGCCGTCCCACTCGCCCGCAGCTCTCCTGCTGTCCCTTACAGGAGCCGGTCTCTAAATCCTGATTGGCTCACCGAGTTGTCCATCGCAGGGGGCAGGACTTCTGCGGTCCCACTTTCAGTGTTGTTGCCACCAAACAGCCCATACTGGCCTCATGGGAAGGTCTCAGTGGCTCCTTGCTGCAATGGGCCTATTCTCTGGAAGCCTGTTTCTGGAAGTTTCCTCTGAGCAATTAGAGAATGTCAGCAATGACCAGAACAAACCACCAGCCTTTGGCCGAGAAGCTGAAGGTGCGGAGGCTGGCTAGAGGAAGCCGGCTGACGTCGAC